ATCTAGCGCTTTGATAGCTGGCTGCAACTTGAGATCGTTAGTACAAAGTGAACTATTCAAAACGATTAGGCTTGTCAGATCGTTAGTAAACACCCAAACTACGAGTGACCCCAATACCAAACATAGTAGCACACTGCATATGACTTGGATAGAGCATGTCGTGGAGCTACGTACTTTTAGTGCCAAACGAATAGGCTAGAGAAATTCACCGATCCACTCAAAGAGAGGATAATCTCGATACTGGTCCTGAAGTGTGGAGGTGCGATGATCACACCAATCGAATGCGTTCGAAAAGTTAAGGTGGAAAACATTGTTACACCAACATCACCTTTTCCAGTCCAACTGGTTCAATTTGTTTTCCAATATACACAAGAGTGATCTGTATGCACTCAAGCGATGAGTACTTAGCTGAAAGTAAATTGACAACGTACGACCGATCCCAACGGAAACCATGTTGTCTTTGAGTAATGTAACTGGCTTCATTCAGGTGAGAGGGCATCAACAATGATAGCCTTCATAATCTTTGAAAGCGTTGGAATAAATCACTAGACGGTGATCAGCTGGAGTATGGCGACTGCCGCCTTTGTAACTTGGAACTATAACTCCATATTTCCACGTGTCACGAAGTATATTTCGAAAAATAGTGTTAGGAAGATTGGGACGAAAGTTCAAACAAGCCATCAGCTACCAAAACAAACGCTTTCGGGCGAATAGCATAAACACCTGGAGAGCTGTGCGAGCACATAACCAGTATCTTTCTCAGTACAATATCTGCCATAAAGAAGTTTTGTGTGATCCATGATAATGTCGCAATACATTCCAACTTGACATGCTCAGACAAGAAGCAAGAGAATGGGCGATGGTCTCATCTCAGTAGACACCATCAATGAGTGAAGGCCCATCACCTCAGTCTTTCGGACCTAAACTCTTAGACCTGAAAAGCAATGACAATGAGCTGTTTGACGAAATTGACAACGTGTGTAGGTTAGCATCGGCAGAAAAAAAATTTCCGATTTGAATTGTAAACAAATAAAGGTTGACATGCGGTGGGTAGAAGTGTTTTCCCATTTCCAAGCCAACTCGGTCCCATGTGAACAAATACAAAAACTTATTGAATTTATTCTATGTCTCCCTGGGAATAATGCACCTAATGAACAAATCTTCTCACACATGAACGCTGTATGGACAAGCGAGAAAACGCAGCTTAGCTTTCAAACGCTGAAAGGGATGCTTATGGTGAAATGTAATTTTAAGGACAAGTGCCCCGGGTATCCCTGCGGAGGACATGCTCTACAACTATTGTTCCGGATGATACAATGTCAATCAGCATAACTTCAGTAGCGCAGCCATTGTACTGACTAATGACGTAAGTACGCTTTCATAGCAGTGAAGTAACAATTGTAGATAGCTTTTCCATTTTTGCACGGTCCGCATATGCTGAAACAACGGGGGAAGGGGTAGGTTAAGCGTCCTGCCTTGGCCCGCGAAAAATCCGGTTACCTTACCCATACCACTCATTTTATAAGGTATAAGATTGCGTAATCTAACCGGCAATTATCGAATGGACTCAATCGCCATGATTACTTGCTACTTATACTGCCAATGAGATCAATCAGGCTTATGCCTATCGTCTGATAGGACGCCAGATGTAAACAGTAAGTGTTGATGGAATGGGCTATTGAGTGTGGCCAAGTGTCAACACCGCAACATCCATAGCGCCTACAATAAGGAAAATCGATAAGATCACTATGGTCGCACCCATGTATCCGGGGTGACTGGCTTAATTCCGGCGTTAAATGTGTCAAGAACTGCGGTGCTGCATGGGTCTAGTGGTCAAGTTAGGTTATTGCCTAACCACTGACGGTTCACATCGTTTTCAGACAACTAAAAAGTGAAGCACTGAACAAGTTATCAAGCTGTCAAATGGTGGTCTTTTATTTCTATGGACCTGAAATAAAGGGATTTGACATCCGGCTACTTCATCTAACCCAGGTTTGTCGCTAAAGAAGGAAAAGATCAAACACTGCAAAATTCATTAACGTTAGCACGGTTCGTAAAGCAGCCTTTTCGGCTACTACTGTAAGTGGACAACGAATCCACCAGAACAAGTTTTGCCAGTCAAAATAGGGTTTGTTTTCACAGAATTTCACCGGACTTAATTGGCCAATCAGAATAATGTCCATAAACAAGTTGAGGCTATTTTTAGCGATTCATCAAGAAGAAAAAATAACAAGAACAATCGGGAAAATCAGCTGAATCCTATAAACGGCACGTCTGTGCTATGTAGTTGAATTGTTTTTGCTATTAGTGGTAACTGAAAGCCTTACTTTCTGGGTCAATCAATAAGAGTAACTTGTGAACCACACAGTCAAATAGCACCAGCGCAGGAGACTATAAAATTCCGCTTGTAAATTATGGCGACGCAGGCTCTGAAAAAGATTTGTTATCTATTCTCTTCCGTAAACATCTCCTGTCTAATATTGAAGCGATTTACATCCGCCACCACTAGCCGGAGCCGTGCGTGTACAGAAGCAATTCGTATGTCAGTTACTTTTACCGCGGCCCATATCTTTCGGCACCCAATCATTCGATTTGGTTAGTACCCCTGTTACTGTTTGACTGGTCGTCGTGTACCTAGTTACCTTTCCCGTGCACTTAATCTGCCATCTTTAGTGATATCGTAAGTTATCGATTCGATGTTAAATCTAACACCTTAATCAATATTTATCCAAACTCGGCACATTTACCATGCAAATGTCAGACTGACGCGATCGACCGAAAAGAATGCTAAATTAAGCACTCTTATTCATGCGCGATGACAACTAAGACGAACTTGTTAAGCAGAATAAGTGGCCTCCGAGAAACGAAAGTCAACCTTTACACTGAACTCAACAGCGTCGGGGTATATCGGTTCCCAAAGGCTTCATTGACTGGATTATGACCGGTGGAGCGCTAGATTCCTAAAGCCAGCAATCCTCTTGGAATTGATTCAGTGTTGTTCCTTCCGACACAGATACTCCACGACCGGTTTAGTCCGAGTTTGGAAGCATCAAGCGGAGACAGCCTGAGTTAGGAGTAGAACTCGGAGCCTAGTGCTTAATGGTTGACGCCTTGATCACTACGTCATTGAGATCCGTGAGCAACGCCGGCTGTGTTGCACGGAGTAGGGCTAATATTAGCTTTCACATGTGCTACTAACCGATCAAATAAGTAATTTAATTTTCAAGACAATAATTTTCCATAATCATTGTGCTCTCACCCAAATTCAGATCGACATAAGTGCAGCGGAGAGTGGCATCTACGAAAATGAGCCGGCTCGACGCGACGACGTGGTGCGCTACGATGATGACCAAACAGACCTATATCCACCGAACTCGGTCAAGTGGGCATCGGAAGCGAAGAACCGTTTTATACAAGAAGCGACAAAAGCACAAGAGCGGAATCAGCGGGTAAGCCTGACGCGAATGTGCGGGGAATGTTGAACTTCATCATACAAACATTATGCATGCAGCATACGACTTGGTCTAGTTTTACAGGTAATACGGTGGTTTGCATATGCGAATGCTGTGCTTCGTGTCTGTAGTTAGATCGCATTAAAGGGTATTGTAGTTGGAATGCTGTCAACCGTTAGACGTGATGTTGGCACGGGATGTCTAGTGTGGTTAACTTAGAGGCGGACATAAACAAAGTATCAGCCTGTCTGGCAGCATCGGTTTGGCTGATAGCCAAAGGAAACGTTTAATCAACGATGAAGAATTAAAATATCAGCTACTGTTGTACGTGCTGATAACCCACAATTTAATGTAAGCGGTTTACCAGTGATGAGTACCGCCAAGTGGCCACAAAACGCCCGTATAGTCTTCTGGTGTTCACCGCATCTACTGTTCCTTAGTGTTATGGGTGACACAATTGAGAGATGGAGATCCAGCCCAAGAAATTGGTGATTTCCGGTTCTACACCTTCCAGAATATCCCTGCAGTCACGGAGAGGACTAATTTTGAAAACACCGATATGACCACCGAACGCAGGTGAGTAAGGATGAAGAGGCGTTGAAGTTTGTTTCTCAGAGATCTAACTAAGTGGGCAGTTTGGAAGGACTGCTTGGCGCGACGCTGCGATATTCTTTGTTACATGTAATACTTTGTCAGACCCATGGAATTTGAAAGGTTGCCGGAACAACCAAGAAACAATAATGAGCTTCATGTACCCGAGAAGAGTAAATTTTCAGGTGTTCTCCGCCAGTTTAATGGTGATCGTTTGTACTTACTGAACTCAAGAGCAGAACGCGTGCACGCTCAGATAGACTCACGTAGAGCATGGACAGACCAGCAGACATTATAAGCTCGCCCCCATTCGGAATGGTCAAGGGGGTTGGGGTCGTGCGATTTTAACGAACAGTCACACAGGTACTCACTCATTAGCTGAGAACAAAGGGAAGAACAGGCTTGGTTTTTTGGAGTGAACAGAGATGTGTTCTGTGAGTGGCCTAGTATAGAGAACCGGGATTTGGGGCTAGTTTCAATGAAGGCTATATGGTGATGCTGATCTTCGAATAAGATTTTCCAAATGAACAGCAAAATAGTATAACGATTAGCAGCAAGCAATTCATGATTTTAGAAGGTTTTGAACACAAATCAGTGTTTCATAAGTTTGCAGTGTGGCAAATTTTGTTCTTGATGTAAGAGCCTGGCCTAAAGAAGCTTTACGTCAAGAACGAAGCGTAACCATGATTCAAACCCACGTAAAACAGATTTGTATTTTAAGCACTCCGAAAGCAGGAACTCCCAACCGGTTCCGAGTATATTCCGAGATACGGAACACTCATTTGCACTAGTCTAAGTAGATTCCTTACAACCAAACCCATCGACACGACGGTTACACACGCAAAATAACATCCCACTGAAACTCAGCAATAGCCCGCATCACGCTCAATTTCGTCCGGTCACGAACACACAACTTGCAATCGGCAGCTTATATGACGCTGTGGAATGGATAATGGTGGCGGTGAAGCGGGTGGATAAACTGCCGATTGTGGTATATCGCATCTCAAGGTTCAATGCCTGACCCAGAATTTATTTGCAAGAGTGATACAATTCGCTCTATATTGTGACTGAGAACAGCCAAACGGCGGCTGTGCCAACCAACAGATGGATTAGGACTGACTTGAATTATACTATCTAAAGCAACATCCTTACAATCCATAGCCGGTGTAAACTCCAAGGATTGAGACGGCGGCATGCGCGCAGCAATTTGGATTGCTTCGAAACTGGCCCACCCTCCTCAAACACCCATGAGTGGGTGAATGCGCATGGTAAAACCCGAGAATCATCATGGTAAGTTAATGCAACGAATGTTGAGCGCACTTTCCACGTGGACGGCCGATGGCAGTTGATAGTCCCTCACGGAAGTGAATAGAGAAACGTGAGTGCCAAGTATACGTGGGGTCTTCTTACGATGGAACCAGATATGAGGCCTAGCGTCACCATAAAGATAGCATTACAGCTAATCTGCAACAGAATCGACCGGTGGTCATCTTCAAATGGGAACTGAAGCGGATGTGTAAACACTCAGTCAATATCCGTATCGAGCGCAACTAGATTTGAAAATAGAAATAGATGTATAAAGGGAATTTCTTGTTTGAAATCTAGGATAAGCCCCAAGCCAGTCAGTTACGACTCGTTAGTGCAACAAGAAACACTATAAGCTTCGTCTGTGCCGGTACCGATGGTCGTGTGATTCAGTGTTGTTGGAAATGATGGAGGTCAACACTGAAAATGTACAAGAACGATGATATGGGATTAATGGAGTTTAAGTTAAATTGTATAGGAAATTCATCGCACTGACGCTTCGCTGTCACGCGTGAACTGAGTATACCGTGAGGACGCCCGACCCTACGAGGATCCGAACCGGTGACCAAAAGATTGCAAGCCAGGCGTGCGATGGGTTCAGTCACCGGCCGATGATAGAAATCCCAATACACATGCGGAGAAGTCGGAATAATCTGAAACATTTGTAGCCTGAGTTGTTTGTTCAGCCGCTAATTGGTTTGTTGAGATTGATTAACTAGTTGCCTCTGTTTCGCCACCATGTGAGTTGGCATCATCACTGCGGTTATCTGGGCTGGGCAATTTTGCTGATCGCTGACCTGGTTGATTTAGTAAAGCTCGGCGAACCAATGAAGTGAAGGTTGTCAGCAGCCGCGCTATATCTCAGCTTGCAATAGGGTTTGACAACCGGTCGTTGTCACTCATCCCCTAGTGCCATAAGTTGCAGACTTATAACGAACGGGCTGAGTTTGACTACTGAGGGAGTCGCTTTTCAGGGTGTGCAGCCGGGATGTTTGGCTGAATGCAACGAATCACCTCTAGAGTTCAAAGTGCGAGACTGGTATCATTAAACCACACATGAAGTTGCATGGGTTGTAGTAGCCATGCAATGACTCATCTGTGAGGTCTTACAGAAACGCAAGTGGGGCGAATAGACTGAGCGCAAGCGTTGGGAATTTGGAAAGTTGTACAGTAAACTGAACCTACGTGACCAGTTAAGCGAAGGTCCGACGGGGCTCGCGCTTCGTGTGTCGAATACATGCATCCTGATGTCAAATGTCCGTTGTAACGTACTTTGTGACTCAAGCCACATTCAAAAGCTCACACGAGGAGCAGCCTATCCTACACCTGTTTCGGCCCAATTACATCCGGTGCGAGGGGATATGCGTAGATGATGAAGTCCAACCACTGGGAGCCAGAAAGAACATCCATGAAAAGGCCGAAATACTGGGCGTATGATACCAGGTGCGACTTTGGCTGATTGCACATACGCATCGTGGATGATCGGTGGCCTATGCAGAGATTGTGTGTGTGCTTAGTGTCCGTGTGCATCTTCGCACTCTTTTTATGCCCGCTGATGCGGTAGCTCCGATCCCCGATAGTATGGGTGAGAAAATGCATGTGGGTGGAAGTGCTCGTGCCCCTAACAGCGCAAGTAAACTACTAATTCCTGCTGAAGCACATGAACCATCTGCTGATTGAGCAGGCGGCCTGACCAGGACCGATTTATGTCAAAGGAACTGTGTTTTTGAACGACAGTGATTCCTATTTAACATCGGAAAGCAATTTAGGGAACCAAATGTTACCTAGTGGCTCATAGAGCGAAAAATGCACTAGGCAGACCACAAAGCATCATACAAAGATGTGAACTCATAAGTGAAACCCTAATTTCCGTGGAAAACTTGAATAAAATCACGGGAATAAAGTGTAAAATTAAACAGAATTAAGTAAAGTGCATTTGGCCGAAGGGAATTGACGAAGGCATCACCGTGTGTGCAAAATGCCACAGACAACAGTGGTTGCACACGGACAGCGAGCGGACCGCACCGCATCGTATCACCCATACATATAATGTACCCGATACACACGTACGTATTTGCGTCTCATTGTGTATGACACTGTACCCACATAATACTCCATGGGATGCATGAGTTCGATGTTGGAACGAATATAGCTCAGCACACCGAATATTAAACCAGATCTAATCAAGTTATTTCTTTTCATTATGACAGCAAACTGTCGCAGTGGTGGATGACCCAGCCGCAGAACACCGTTTTGCCACGGAGGCGAAACAGGCATTTTTAGAACGTCAGCGAGAAGTCGAGGAGGCAAAAAAGAACAAAGCTCGACCGGATATCGTAAGTTGAAGTCTTCATTTTAGCCGCGATTCGCATTTCACCAGAACAATCCGATTTTCATCAATAGCTTGTGATGATTGTTGTCGCCATCATACTCGCAGAACGAACCAGTACGCTGGGAAGGGGAATCCGATTGATCTGCATTTCATTATTAGGTCGATATTTCAATTCGTCTGCAAGTTCTAAGGAATGAAGCGCAATGTTCATCGATAATCCGCGAACGCAAACTCTGTCAACCCTGAGTGCCTGCACGCAGCTCATTTGCCCAGTCCGTTCGGGCGACTGGTTGGTGCTGTCCACGTGCGACATTGACCTGATCCGTTGAGCAGCAGAGAGAGAGCAGAGGATGTTTGGACTGCTTCCTCCACAGGACCGACAGTCAATCGCCAATAGGGCACGGTATTGAACAGTCCCATGGCAAATTATTCCTACACTGAATGATAATGCACTGACTCACTAACGGGTACATTTCATATAAAGTCACAATCGATGCGCCAGCCTAGTCGTCTTAACTTCCAGATGTACTGCTTCCGCGCGGGATGCGAGCCGAGAATCGGAATAAGGCATCCGAGCGGTTCGATCAACTATAGCTAACACGGAAACACCAAATGACGGAGTCTTATTCCACGATTTAGGAAACCACCTAGGTGTGGATTCGCCACCCACCTTCTCAGGGTCGCTCATAGGGATTCCAACCTGGCAAGTCTGAGTGTAGTAAAACACGTGTGTCGTTTCATTTTAGCAGCGAGTGTGCATGTGAGTACACGTTCTACAGTACAACAAGCCGTTTTCACCAGTGCAATATTGGCAGCCACCGAGTGTTCTCCTAATCCCGGCTGGAGTAATGAGCGGAATAAGAACGTACTAAGTTGCAATGAGCTGAAAATCGTCCACTGCTCCTTCGGAATATTCTGCATAACAGACGCTGTAGTGTTTTATGATAACTGTGGCCCAAAGAACTATCTATGGACACCGAGTAGACCATAAGTTCCTCGTTAGTAAACGCGAGATCCAGGACAGCTGATCTGTTTCTCGCTCTGAATCTTGCAGAAGTAAGTGGTTATGAAGTGTTAAACCAGGGATTCGCTCCTCTAATTCCATTTGGAAATGTTCGTGGAGACAGGCTAGGGTGTGGAGACTGAAGTCACCAACCAGAAGAACGTGAATGTGTGACCTAGCCAGAATAGTCTTCATGGCGAAGGCAAAGCGATTGTCAACTTCAGAAGTAGACGACGAAGAGCATCACAGGACATCCACTGAACATATCGCCGCGTCTTAGGTGAGGTAGGCAGAAAAGTACATTAGCGATCGGAAACACCAAGTCGTCGATGAGATGGTGTGGATTAATGAGGTGAAGAACTCTCCGAAGTGATCCGAAGGACACGGACCACTAGTTCGAGGATGTGAATTGTGCGGCAGAATGGATAGTAATGTCCATGAACGAATACCCAAATGCGGTGCTGGGCTCTCTAACAAGCTTTTACGGTTCAATTTCTGTTTACAAAGGGAACCATAGTGGTGCGATAAAGGATGCTATTAAGTGATGCACCAGTGTTCTGACTCGTTTTATTGATCAATGACACAACCAACTAATAATGTCCCGATCACTATTGCAGATGGATATTTGGGGTGAACAATGTCCGCACAGTGGAGTGTTTGAAAATACGCCAGCAGCTCGTTCAGCTGATGTGGTGGCCGGTTACAGCAGCTCCGAGGAAGAGGAGACAGAAGAAGGTGAAGAGGAGGTAGAATGAAGAAGCGTTCCGTTTCGTGATATTTCGACCCATGCAGCGCTGTCTGTTCGCCATTTTGTACCCAAACCCAAAGTCAGATTCCAATGCAACTTTGATCTCACCTACATTCAATTATCATCCCAAGCCCTAAACTTGCCTAAGGGAGCAATTCACCGAGACAGAAACATGCAATCACTTGATTCTGTTCAATACACCTTCACTTCGACCCAAGGAGCATCATCTTCACCACATATCCACCGGTAAACACGAGCTCCAATCATCATTACCATGTATGTGTTTGATTCGATGCTCCCGCTCGCTGCCAACCGGTGAAGTTTGCAGCCTATCGGATCCAGCATATGTCGAACGCCAATTTCCACTGACTCTTCTCTGATACCTTTCTCTCTTTCCCACACAATGGTGAGGCTTATACCATGGACCATACTGTTTACCCCATTGCACGATCTGAACTTCTCAGTTTCTGATTTGACACGTACTCATATTACAAAAGAAAACAGTAATTTGAATAAATTACGGGTGCTGGCTGGAGAGAGTACAAAAATCAGGCCTTCATAAAACGATGCAATGATTGTGTTGTGTGGTGAAGAGGCAATCTTATTGTCACCAAAGGTATTCACATTAGCATGACTCCCATGAGCGGAATCTAGCGACAACAGCAGATTCCGAAAAAGAAGAAAACCAAGCTAGCGTCTTAGTCGGTTGCATACAGGCGCAATCAGAACACCGGTGTTCCGCACCTACACCTTCGCTGACACGCGATTAGCACAGTCGCGTGCAGGTTAGGAACACCTTAAGGTCCCTTGCAAATAGGCAGATTCTAATGGGGCACAATTGGGTTACAAGACAGAGGCCCCATCCACCGACCGATTAGTGAAAGGGGTACTTAGCACAATGAAAAAACTCAATGACGGCGCCAGCTATCGGCTGTGATAAGCAAACACCATCGCTATGGTTCAAAACCCAAACCCCGCAGCAAAAAAACCCACAGTGAGGTAATTAAGCGGTTAGCCGTGAGCCCGAGAAAGGTTTGCTCATCTGCGTCTCGGAACATGCTTGAAGCTACAAGCCCGATGCGTGTAACACAAATCTAGTACATTGTCATCATAATCGAACAGGTGGTCGCCTTTGTTTAACGCTACGAGTATCAGTAGTAGAGGTTTAACCGTAAATTCCGTTCCAGTAGTAAACGGATAGCGACTGATTGTAAATCCATACCGCCTTCCAAGTATGGGGGCGCTGATCCAGATCAACCTGACAGCACTGTGAACTGAAACAATGTGAGAATGCCAAAAATATTATGTATAAAAAATGGGTTTATGATCATTAGGCAACGAAATGATAAAAAAGGGAAGATAAATCGGACTCAGTTCCCACGAACAAAAATTACTAACGAGCGAAAGTAAATAAGAGTGCACTGTATTTCCTAACGAGGTACAGTGAGCAGGACTGGGGTCAGGGATGTCGCCGTATTCGACCACTTGTTCCACCATTCCCTCCAACTAGTGCGGTGACCATAGACACTTAACAGTAACATATTCCGAAGAAGAGATCGAGTTCATCTGCTTCGCCTCATCGATTAAGTGGATAGTAGTAGCATTTAAAGTGCTTGTCCGTTCTTAGCTCCACGACACGACTTGATGAATACGGCGTGTTCAGTGTTTTGACTATGGCAGGCTAAGCGAGCTGAGGCAAAACATCCTTTTGCTTAAGTTAGCGTAAGCGCCACACGGCTCAGTTAGGTCTCAACACTAGTCAGTCTCGGTTCATATTAGTCCAGTTCGGTGCCAAGATTGTGATGACACATTATCTGTACCACAGACCGTGATATATATATATATATATATATATATATATATATATATTATATTATATATTATATTATAATATAATATATATATATATATATATATATATATATATATATATATATATATATATCACGGTCTGTGGTACAGATAATGTGTCATCACAATCTTGGCACCGAACTGGACTAATATGAACCGAGACTGACTAGTGTTGAACCTAACTGACGTGTTGCGCTTACGCTAACTTAAGCAAAAGGATGTTTTGCCTCAGCTCGCTTAGCCTGTCATAGTCAAAACACCGAACACGCCATATTCATCAAGTCGTGTCGTGGAGCTAAGAACGGACAAGCACTTTAAATGCTACTCCTATCCACTTAATCGATGAGCCGAAGTAGATGAACTCGATCTCTTCTTCGGAATATGTTACTGTAAAGTGTCTATGGTCACCGCACTAGTTGGAGGGAATGGTGGAACAAGTGGTCGAATACGGCAGCATCCCTGACCCCGTCCTGCTCACTGTACCTCGTTAGGAAATACAGTGCACTCTTATTTACTTTCGCTCGTTAGTAATTTTTGTTCGTGGGAACTGAGTCCGATTTATCTTCCCTTTTTTATCATTTCGTTGCCTAATGATCATAAACCCATTTTTTATACATAATATTTTTGGCATTCTCACATTGTTTCAGTTCACAGTGCTGTCAGGTTGATCTGGATCAGCGCCCCCATACTTGGAAGGCGGTATGGATTTACAATCAGTCGCTATCCGTTTACTGCTGGAACGGAATTTACGGTTAAACCTCTACTGCTGATACTCGTAGCGTTAAACAAAGGCGACAACCTGTTAGATTATGATGACAATGTACTATATTTGTGTTACACGCATCGGACTTGTAGCTTCAAGCATGTTCCGAGGCGCAGATGAACAAACCTTTCTCGGGCTCACGGCTAACCGCTTAATTACCTCACTGTGGGTTTTTTTGCTGCGGGGTTTGGGTTTTGAACCATAGCGATGGTGTTTGCTTATCACAGCCGATAGCTGGCGCTGTCATTGAGTTTTTTCATTGTGCCAAGTACCCCTTTCATTAATTGGTCGGTGGATGGGGCGTCTGACTTGTAACTCAATTGTGCCCGATTCGAATCTGCCTAGTTTCGAGGGACCTTAAGGTGTCCCTAACCTGCGCGCGACTGGTGATAATCGCGTGTCAGCAAAGGTGTAGGTGCGGAACACCGGTGTTTTGATTGCGCATGTATGCAACCCACTAAGACTCTAACTTGGTTTTCTTCTTTTTTGGAATCTGCTGTCGTCGCTAGATTCCGCTCATGGGAGTCATGCTTATGTGAATACCTTTGGTGACAATATGATTGACTCTTCACCACAGAGCACCATCATGGCGTCGTTTTATGAAAGCCTGATTATTGTACACTCTCCAGCCAGCACCCGTAATTTATTCAAATTACTGTTTTCTTTTGTGGGATGAGTATGTGTCAAATCAGAAACAGAAAGTTCAGATCGTGCAATGGGATAAACAGTATGGTCCATGGTATAAGCTTCACCATTGTGTGGGAAAGAGAGAAAGGTATCAGAGAAGGGTCAGTGGAAATTGACGTTCGACATTTGCTGGATCCGATAGGCTGCAAACTTCACCGGTTGGCAGCGAGCAGGAGCATCGAATCAAACACATACATGGTGATGATGATTGGAGCTCGTGTTTGCCGGTGGATATGTTGTGAAGATGATGCTCCTTGGGTCGAAGTGAAGGTGTATTGAACAGAATCAAGTGATTGCATGTTTCTGTCTCGGTGAATTGCTCCCTTAGGCAAGTTTAGGGCTTGGGATGATAATTGAATGTAGGTGAGATCAAAGTTGCATTGGAATCTGACTTTGGGTTTGGGTACAAAATGGCGAACAGACAGCGCTGCATGGGTCGAAATATCACGAAACGGAACGCTTCTTCATTCTACTCCTCTTCACCTTCTTCTGTCTCCTCTTCCTCGGAGCTGCTGTAACCGGCCACCACATCAGCTGAACGAGCTGCTGGCGTATTTTCAAACACTCCACTGTGCGGACATTGTTCACCCCAAATATCGATCTGCAATAGTGATCGGGACATTATTAGTTGGTCGTGTCATTGATCAATAAAACGAGTCAGAACACTGGTGCATCACTTAATAGCATCCTTTATCGCACCACTATGGTTCACTTTGTAAACAGAAATTGAACCGTAAAAGCGTGTTAGAGAGCCCAGCACCGCATTTGGGTATCCGTTCATGGACATTACTATCCATTCTGCCGCACAATTCACTTCCTCGAACTAGTAGTCCGTGTCCTTCGGATCACTTCGGAGAGTTCTTCACCTCATTAATCCACACCATCTCATCGACGACTTGGTGTTTCCGATCGCTAATGTACTTTTCTGCCTACCTCACCTAAGACGCGGCGATATGTTCAGTGGATGTCCTGTGATGCTCTTCGTCGTCTACTTCTGAAGTTGACAATCGCTTTGCCTTCGCTATGAAGACTATTCTGGCTAGGTCACACATTCACGTTCTTCTGGTTGGTGACTTCAGTCTCCACACCCTAGCCTGTCTCCACGAACATTTCCAAATGGAATTAGAGGAGCGAATCCCTGGTTTAACACTTCATAACCACTTACTTCTGCAAGATTCAGAGCGAGAAACAGATCAGCTGTCCTGGATCTCGCGTTTACTAACGAGGAACTTATGGTCTACTCGGTGTCCATAGATAGTTCTTTGGGCCACAGTTATCATAAAACACTACAGCGTCTGTTATGCAGAATATTCCGAAGGAGCAGTGGACGATTTTCAGCTCATTGCAACTTAGTACGTTCTTATTCCACTCATTACTCCAGCCGGGATTAGGAGAACACTCGGTGGCTGCCAATATTGCACTGGTGAAAACGGCTTGTTGTACTGTAGAACGTGTACTCACATGCACACTCGCTGCTAAGATGAAACGACACACGTGTTTTACTACACTCAGACTTGCCAGGTTGGAATCCCTATGAGCGACCCTGAGAAGGTGGGTGGCGAATCCACACCTAGGTGGTTTCCTAAATCGTGGAATAAGACTCCGTCATTGGTGTTTCCGTGTTAGCTTATAGTTGATCGAACCGCTCGGATGCCTTATTCCGATTCTCGGCTCGCATCCCGCGCGGAAGCAGTACATCTGGAAGT